AGGGAGACGAATTGGTCGGTGGTGTTGTATCCGTGAGGGGCGTACTTGGTCCCTTCGTCGAAGTTGGTGCCGATAAGAAGCGGGGTTTTGGCGAATTGGCCAGTCTGGAGATTAACGATTCCAGAGGCTCTAAGGAAATCGCCGTCAATGACGGGGTGATATCCTGCGCCAGCGACGAGAGAGCTGTTGAAAATGGAGCTCAGGACGTCGGTGGGAACTTCACGGAGACAGGTAAGTGTGTTTAAAGCGCCGGTGCAGTTGGTTGCGTTGACGACGGCATCGTAGTAGGGTTGTGCCTCCGAGGCATTCATGTATGCTGCGAGGGAAGGCACGGAGCCGCTCTCAGCAATTCCAGCACGGAAGATGCCATCATTCTGGCCGTCGTATGCCACTAAATGAAGACCAACGCTATTGGCACCAGCACTTTGGCCCCAGATAGTGAGCCGCGACGGATCTCCGCCAAAGGAAGCGATATTCTCCTGAAGCCAGTACAATGCGTGCCGTTGGTCGCGGAGTCCTAAGTTGGCGGAGCCTTCATCAGCGACTTCCTGGCTGTAGAGGAAGCCCCATGCCGAAAGGCGATAGTTGACAGTCACGCCAATGATTGGAGCTTGCATCTCTTGAGACTGTTGAACAATGTAAGAGAGGTTATAACGAGAGTCGCGAGTGCCTCCCTCCGCAAACTCTCCACCGTGCATCCAGAAGACGACGGGCAGATTCGCGCTCGAGTCGATTCCGTGAGGTCGGATCACACTGAGAGCGAGACAGTCTTCCGACACCACGTCCGTCCAGCCCCAGTCATCACTGCCGTAACCAATACATTCATTGTAGTATTCTGTTGCGTTTCGAGTACCGGACCAGCTGGTGTTAAGCGGTTGTGGTGGACGAAAGCGAAGCTCACCGACCGGAGGCTGCGCATATGGTATGCCGAGGAACAAGTCCTGATCGTACGTGGGATTGTAGACACCCTCGTACGTGCCATTGCGGACTTGCACGGTAGGAGCGGATGTCGGTGTGTTGGCGGCATCTTGTGTAGAACCGAGCGTGGGCAGTAATGCGGTGGCCGCAATTAGCGGCAAGAAGACAGAGGAAGCCATATCGACGGACTGACTGGCTACCTTATGTCAAAAATCCAGGGGGGGATGAGGTTGGACCATCTAGAGGAGCTAAGATCTTTAAACCGATTCGATTTGCCAGGCCATACAGTAACAGTATGTAGCATTGTACATACTGTTTCCGACATCCTCGTTGGGATTACGGATTATGATAGTTCATATCGGTGAAACTGAAAACAGACAATGGACCCTCCCCCGCGGGACAATGTACGGTAACTGTGCTGAGGGAGCTATTGATTCAGACCGCCATTAATTCCAGACCGTAGTAGTGAAGACTAAGATTTCTACTGAAGAGCCAAGAATGGAGGAAGGATTGAGACAGTAGCAACGGAGGGTATAGCATAGCAATCCCCTAGGGCCTAAAGGTAACTGTCTCAATGTGGAATCTGTCATTCTCCGCGGAATGTACTAACACTATGCGGGATGCTATCTTTGTGACTTCTCGTTGAGCTGATGGATCTTTTCTATTTCTTTCTCTTTTTCTTTTTCTTTTTGGTTAATTATTTTTTTCCCTCTCTTCTCTCTGGTTGTATTAAGCGACAGACTGGGGTTGTAGTTGTAGAGTTACACTCATACTTATGTTGTATGTTGTAGCCGCTAAGAATAGACTCAATGCGTCCGGATCTGACAATCCCGGGGTAGAGTAACAACAAATTGGTTTGTTTCGCCAAGGAAATTTTTTCCAGTAGAGAGGGGTTGGATCGGAAGCGCCGTCAGTCGATGTAACCTCAATTCAATCTAATTTTCTTGCCGTGATGTTTTGGGGAATTGGGATCTGATGATCCACTTTGCCTCCCCGCAACTGCCGGAAACGATGGGTGTCTGCTTAAAGTTGGCGGCAACGCGGCCGGTTGAGTTGACTTTAGGCCGATCGGCTTAATTCATCAATGACTTATCCCGGTTTCTTCAAGCGATCTTGTCAGCCAATTGACAGAATAAACTTCTGTCGGCGTTACATGTCACTTAGTAACCATTTACATTATTGTACTTAATCTTCTCGGATAGGCGAAACTGTTGAGGAACCAAGATTTCCAAGATCCAAACATTTAAACTTTATCGGTTATGCGTAGTAGTAGCAGAACGGTCCAGACAGAGGGTTCATCAGATCGGCAAACTTCAGCGGTTGAGAAATAAACCCAAAATCAAGCACATCGTCTAACGTCATGTTTGCAGAAGGCGGGCTATCGCCTCGGGTTGAAGTGCCCCAGATTGCGTTTCGTCTCTTCGCCGGATCTAGTCCTTGCCAGATTGTCCAGACACGGTCGATCTGTGCATGGTGAAGCCAGAACATCGGCTCGGCCGGGCTGGTATCAATGTCTGCCAAGACGCTTCCAACAGTGAGATGTCCTCCACCATGAACCCCGTAAGTGAAAGGAGCAGTGGGATCGGTGAATCGCTGGTCTGCTTGCATGACGCCTTGGAACCAATCAATCGTATCGTACGAGAGAATCAATTTCGTAGTGTTGCGGAAGGAGATTGACATTTGTGAGATGGTGGGGTTCACATCTCGCGATAAGCAGCGTGGATTATACTCCAGTTTGTATTGGACTGGCTGCTCTCCCGGAGCATCAATAGGGCCCATGTGCACTGTGTAATTGGAGAAAGGGCCCCCATATACGCACCCACCCCCAGTCCCGGCGGGGATGCTCATGTTTTTAGATTCCCAGTAGATGCTTGTTCGGTTCAAATCTACCCCATTAGTCCCCATACTGTATGGGTCGCCATTAAAGAGGACAGAGCCCTGGGGGTTTTCCGCATCAAGTCCCCATTCCCAGTAGGGAAGAGTGCCTGTATAGTTGCACTCAAATCGTAGCGCATTTTCAAATGCATAAAGAAAGAACCGATGCCAGGCGAGAAAATCAGCCTACAAGATAACGTTTCAGCGATGACTTCGACTTTTAATTTTTCAACGAACTTTTACCAACCGTCACATGGATGTGTTCCGTCAGATTTATATGGGTAGCTACGAACTCATCATACCGAGTCTGTACTCCCTGAAAGGTCTCCTTTTCTTCTGCCGAAATATTTGCAGGAAGACTCTGCAAGCAGACGATAGCATCGGTGAATTCTTTCCTTGCAGCTAGAGACAAGCTGCGCCTACCCTGGGCGTGAGATGGTGGCCTTAACCGATAGCAAGGGTCAGATGCGGCTTGCGCAGGATAAACCTACCATTCTTTGCGGATTCGGGCGTCCTCAAAGCGGCAGCCATTGGTTGCCAGAGACTCAAGCTTCATGTTCCCCAGGGTATCATTGGCAATCTGCTGCAATGCAACACCATTGTCGATATCCTGTTCGGGGAAACCAGTCGACTGGTTGTAAAGAGCCCAAGCCGATGGCCAGTAAAGCAGATACACCAGTTTCAGCCAGTTGCAGTGCATGAGTGCCGGCAAGAGAGATCTGGAGCTGCTCCATATTGATTACAATACTCCTTGTAGGGAAAAATGGAAATATATAGGCTCAGATATTGCGGTCGGAGTACAATTCCTCAGTCATTGTTCTCTTATCAGCCTTGTGGCAACGAAGGGACGGTAGCTGGGTCTAAAACCAAAGACCCACAGATCAGAATGCATCCACATACTACCGAATGCGGCGATCCCTTTTTTGGGTTGCTTATCTGCTCTGGATTATCATTAAAATTCGTCGAAGTTGTACCAGGGTTGACGACTGCTCTCATCATGGCATCAACCATATACAATTCATGCGATCGGACACGCTGTGCTATAGGCACAGCACAGCAGGCCTGCGTGAAGTGGACGGCGCATATCGAAGCAAGGGGTCGTAGTAAAGAATGATCAAGGAATGAAGGGGTGATGAAGAAGGATGGGTTGGTTGGGTGGTGTGGTTGTGTGTTGCTTCCTGACTAATCGAATCGCCCCGTAGTTCTAGTTGGTGCCTTCTGCATATACTTCTTTCCCCCCACGGTCCTTGTGGAACTTCCTATGTTTCCGATCTCTGCATCCAAGGCCTTTGGTTATGATGCTCAAAGATCACATGGCCCTGGTGTAGGGATAAGACATCTCACATCCTTAGATAACGACGGCATCAAACTTAATATCAGTACCTGGAACCTTTGTGACCGCGCACTTTCAGGGAACTTACGAGCCCGAAGCTGTTGCCAGAAGATCCAAATGATACAAGCCCGACAGTGAGCATTTGGAAGAACAGGTCACTCGTCGTACCTTTCTAGCTCAAAGACGAGCCATAGGGCATGTGCGAGGGTTGGATCAGAGTCACCGATGGTTGAACACGAAGCCAGTCACAAACGGTATGCATGGGGCCAGCAACGATTACAGAGACGGGATAAGACGGGATACGTTCATGTGCTATACACGCGGCAATCCTACGCAAATGGAACTATTAACTTTGAGGAAGAGACATGGCCTGGCCAATGGTGCCCTAGGTCCTCCCCAGGAGGATCTCGATGCATGCACCAAATGTGACAAGAGACGATTGAGAGCAGTGATTCCCAACACCAAGGTTCAAATAGAGCCCACCTTCTACATTTGAGAATGCAAGGCGCCACTACGCGGGCGATAAGAAACAGGAAAGCAAACGAATATGACATGAGTGTCACAATGTTGAGCAGTGTAGCATGATCGGCATGATCATGGGTTTAGTTTCCCATGAGATCCTTGCAGATCTAGTCTTCCAGAATGCCAACTTCCATGGATCCTCATTCTTTTTGATGCTTGCCTCTGCGCAATGGGGATAATGATCGTCCAGCTTCAAAATTAGGACCAAAGTGCAACTGGATATATAACTACTTTTAACAAGATCGAACACCCCCGTAGGGTAAGCACACGGCAGGCAAGATACTAAAAACCCTGTAGGAAAGTCTCAAGGGCTATTTTCTGTACCATCTCAACGCGCGACATTGTCACCATTATGAAATTCTTGTTGTTGGGCTCGACCCTCTTACTATCAACCGTTGTGCAGGGTCAGTGGCCTCCCCAAATTACAACATTAATAAGCAATCTAGTAACATGCTTTGTGCAACAGCACATCCGGGACCACATTCCCAACCCGATGCCGTACAGTTGGCCCGGCGCGGAGCCGTGGCAAAAAGGTGTTCCGACACGGTCGGCCTCATGAAGAGGAACCGGCATGCAATGCGCCGACGGGCACTTTCGCTATCCGACGATGATGATGGTACCACCACCTACACCATCACAGCTGAGGCTCCCAAATACGACTTCTTGAAGAATGACACCTGCATTCTCACGCCGGAAACTAGCCCGGGGCCCTATATTTATCCGCGGAGTCAGACTCTGCGCCAGGATATTGTCGAGGATCAAATTGGGGTACCCTTCGTCATGGACATTGGCCTCATGGATATCCATACCTGCGAGCCCTTGACGGATGCATTAGTGGATGTTTGGGTGCGTTCATCCCCACACCACATCTTTCTTGATTATTCTCTTCCACACCATTTTTCGCAAAGAAGAAACGGAAAGAGTATCTAGATGAAATTCTTCTGACCCCGGTATAGCACTGCAATGCCACTGGATCGTATAGTTCCTTCACTGGTCTGAATCCAGATATCTCATTTCCTGAGCAGTACTTTGAAAGCACTGGTACGCAAATTGACGCGGATAGCGGCATGAGTGATGTCTCGGTAATACTATCCCTCCCCACCTTTCAGTCCGTCAATCTGGCTCAGGCACAGAAAATATCTGACATAAAGGGCAACAAAAGTTTCTAGCAACGGACGATACAACCTGGCTTCGGGGCATGTGGCCCACCGATGAGAATGGCGTGACCAGCTTCACCTCGATATTCCCTGGGTTTTATGTGAGCATGCACACACACACACACACACACTTATGGTTCAGCTATGACAAAGTCAACCCCAAGCAGACTGACTATTTAATCCCCAGACCAACCGTGCCATCCACATTCACGTGCAAGTGCACACAAACTGGAGTATAACCAGTAATGGCACCATAGGTGCAGGCAGAACAGTCAATACGGCCCAGTTGTTTGTCAACGAAGATGTGGCTACAGAGATCATGGCAGTACCTCCGTATTCCCATCACACTCAGATCCAGCGGAAACCAGTGTCAGAGGACGGGGTTTATTATGAGGAATCGTTGAGTAAGCATATATGCAATCTGGGTCTCACTTTAATTTCCTGTTGAGATGCTGATGCTGTGGTCTGATTAACAGCGGGGGCCATGGCTATCATGGATACGGAGCCGCTAGATGGTCAGGATTATAGGAATGGAGTCCTTGGGTATATTACCTTGGTAAGTGGAGAATCATTCATTTATTCATACCAGAATGTTGTTAATAATCTGCAGGGTGTTGATACGACCGCAATTCATAATGGAACCACCGAAGATCCGAGTAAGTCATGGTCTTTTCTGCGCATTGAGTGAGATCGTGTTGGCTAAACGCGTATCCTAGATCCCCCTATCCCAACCGGTGGAGGTAACTAGCATGATCCAAGATATCAAGTGAGGTTGTATATACGTTATTAGTATATTTCCCATAGATTGAATAGAGACAGACTCATTATATAGAGTGAACGGAATTTGAACCTGTCTACGGACTTATCTCGGAAAACTCATGCCATATCTCTAGACACTCACAGCTTGGCATTCCTAATTTTTTCCTCCTTCAACTACCAACCTGTGAGTATTCCCTTGATTAACAAGATATATATTACCAAAGAATATGCCTACACATCAATATGCGGCAAATAATTCCCTCAATAATATTCCCCGCCCTGTAAAGTGGCAACGGACCTGCTTAATTGAGGATCCAAGGCAATCAATCATTATCCAGCATCCCCAACACAACTCTGCACAAGGCAGAAGAAGAAGAATAAGAAGAAGGGTCTAGACAATGTTCCAAAGACTAAGCCAGGAGTTCGATCCACCCTTCATTACCGATGATGATCCCCTTGTGTATCCACCGTCAGATGGTTGTGGCCCGAACCAGCCCGGCCCCAGTCAACAACAACGTTTTGCAACTGAAGGCTTAGGATTATACGTATAGTAATCACCAACATTCTTCTATATTATTATTATATCACATAATAGGTAGTCAGACAATACTAAACAGATTTTACTGCACGTTAAATTACTGCGATCTTAGTTACACACAGACTGTCCCACCCATCCCAAAAGTCAAATATAGTAGAGTAGTATTCATTATCATCATAAATAATTTTATCAACCCATATCATATCCACTGCAATCTTAATATCATCGCCAACAAAACAAATATTTATCAACTAGGTAGGCAACAATATTATCGCATTTATCAATTGATAATTTATCCTGACTCAATTTTCAGACCATCGCATAATAATTTTCTCATCGTCATATATTGGTTATACCTACGGGGTAGTATCATCAACCCCTTCGCTTAGCTGACAGTCGCGATCTCCCGCCGCCTCCTCTGTTTCAGATTGATTTCTCTGACCTACTACACCCACCCCCCGCAATTTCAATCTCGATGATTCTCGAAACTACCGAAATCGTTTCGGGGCTTCCGGAGCTAGTAGTAGTACTTTGTACTCTTACTTTCTAGGGTCTGTAAAGAATAGTAGTAGAATTTTTTTACTTTTCGATGGGTCCAGTTCGTGTTTTGATGATGATGGGATGATGGGTTTAATTTGCCAAGTTTTTGGTGATGTGATTTTGGTTTGTGTGGGGTTGACTAATGCTGGGTTTGGAAGGTGATTAGTAGTAAGTATTGGAATCACATGCTTGGTGATTTTTGTGTTTGTGTAGATGAGTGTAGCTGGGTTTGTGTGTTGAGTAGATAGGTCTCTTTTGAGGTGGTATAGATGCTGAGTAAATTGGGAAGAAAAGTACTGAAGGCGATATACGACGTCATAGGACAGCACCTACTAATCCATCCCTTTTATTGGTTTATGGATTGGCGTGCCTGACCTGATCTATGCAGGTTTCTTAGGACCAACTCTTACCTAAATATATCGCGCATACTATCTGCTACTATTAGTAGTCATGTGTAACCAATGATGCATCGAATCCACATGGCGCACACAGTGGGCGGCTATCGCACAAAGAAATTGTTGACTCGCAGCGCGTTTACGCGCTCCTTTGATCCATGATCCCAGCAACGAAGAATCCAGTAATCGGTTTCGACGTGTAGCAATTAAATCACGGAGCCAGCCGCCCTCCGACTTGGTGAAAGAAAGAAACGGTGGAAGGGTAAAAGAACCCCACCGATCCGACCAAACTTTTGCGCCGACAGGGTCCGTCCATGCGGGGATCATGATCTGAACCATGGTGCAGGAGGTTGGATGTTTACTTGTATCTTGGTTGGGTCGAAAGTCGGCGGCTGAGGATTGCCAACATTCCCTACCACTTGCATACGGAGTATTTTGTTTTCTTTTTCTGGACCGGAAAAAAAAAAGGGCGTGAGTTGGTGTAGTGTAGTATGCTTTGCTCTATACGGGGCAGCGGGATGCAATAAGATTTTCACCGGTAAGACATGGACGGGCATTTGGTTCGCCACCGAAGCGCCAAGTCGGCACACGCGGTCATGGCTGGGTGAAAGGAATTGCCTGGGGAGCTTGGGATTGGGCTGAAGGATCATCTTGGAGATGGAGATGTATGCTTAGTTGAGTTTTTCTGTGGTCGAATGAGGTGTCCCAGGAATGGTCTCGCCCACGCCATCTCTTACAATGGGGTTTCGTTGAGCCTGATAATGACAGCCTCCGGTTGATGGGGACTAGAATGATGACAGGAGAACGAACTTCTTCAGTGTCCTTCGTACGTATGGAATGTTGGGATCTTGGTAGAGGCGAAAAAAAGGAAAATTTGTTTCGCCTGGACTCACAATTTGCTGCTGCCTTTTGGAAAGAGTCATAGAAATGCACATCTTTGCTCAGTGGCTGCGAGGCTGTGTCCATCGCCCCACGTCGGCTTCATCTTCCGCAAAGGCTGCAATGTAAGGGCAGGGGGAGCTTCGGTCAGTGAGCGGGTCACAGTTGACCAAGCCGAATGGCGAACTTTGAAGGCTCATTCGCCGAGCAGAAAGAATGATCGGAAGATGTGGAAAGGGCAAGATGACCGGTCGGACAACGTTGTCTAACTAGTAGGCTGGCGGATGATACTTTTTACTTTTAGTTGCAAGCCGATCAATCAGAGCAAATCCGCGACCTGCAGGCGTTGATTGGCAAATGCCGGCGCCAACCGCCTTGGGCCCAGCCAATGAAGCGACGGGCCGGGCTGATGGTGCGACGGATGGGCTGGCAGGGGTAATACCTTACAAGTCTCTTGTATCTACTCAGTAAACACAGTAATGCGTCGCTAGCCGAAGTCCCAGGTTCCGCTGCGGGTTTGTTTCATCTTCTGGACTATGGAGTCCCTTTCGCCAGGGACCACTCAGGGTCCATCTGCACTCCCAAAACTATGTGTCCCACGACTCGACATGCAACCAAACCCAATTCACTGTCTGTCTGTCAATCTCCTCCCCCCTCCCCACTCACACGCATCTTGACTTTCGGTGCGCGCCTACTAACAGCCAGTCTCATTCCGTCCAGTCTCCTGGGTACCCTGATTCACCGTCATGGCGTTTTCAAACAGTCCAAATCTTAAGTATATAACACCCCCCCGGGGATGCCAGTGTTGATCCCTTTTCTTCTTTCTCTTCTTCAACCACGCTGGAGCGTTCAGTCCTTTCTTCGTTCTACACTGTTCGACAGTCCTACTATCACCAGGCTAGTCCTGCTTTCTTTCGACACTCCTTTTGATTTCATTAAAATCTTCGTTGTGTGCCTGCGGCAGACTCCGACCTTCCCTTCTTCTTCCTAAGAGCTGAAGCTATCCTTGTCCAGTGGTATCACACTTTTGTGACAAAGGCCTGTTTTGACTAGACAAAGTCAACATTGGGACAAGCTCACATTCCATTCGGTTCTACAAAGGTATTGTCATCTCGCCTTATCCTGCTACTTCCCCGGGTACATTTTCATTGTCTACCGTAACCTTGTGCCCCTCTACACATCCTTGGCCATATACTGCTTCAACTATACGGGTATCACCGTCTGTTGCTCCTATGCCTCTTACCAACAAATCATGCATTATTTCAATATAAACCCAGAACTTCATCCTTTCCTTCATTTCTCTCCATAGCTAATCCATCTGCACTAGACTTTTGCTCAACGCAACCATCTGTTCTGTCTCGTCTGGTACGGTCAGAACTTCAAACACTCCTTTAGCTGTCGAATAGTGCAAAACAAAAACGACGCTCCTTCACCATGTTTTCCAAGTCGATCCTTACGGCAGCTGCTCTTTTGGGCATCTCGGCCGTCGAAGCACACATGATCATGACTGAGCCCATTCCCTATGGAAAGGATACCCTCAACAACTCGCCTCTGGCAGCCGATGGCAGCGACTTTCCTTGCAAGCTGCGCTCCAACACCTACGAGGTCAGCGAGTGGAATACCGCCCAGATCGGGGAGAGCATGCCTTTGACCTTTGAGGGTTCCGCCACCCATGGTGGTGGCTCCTGCCAAGTCAGTCTGACCACCGATCTGCAGCCTACCAAGGACTCTGAATGGATGGTCATCAAGTCTATCGAGGGTGGCTGCCCCGCCAACGTGGACGGAAACCTTTCCGGTGGTGCTTCCATGGCCGATCCTACCAAGTTCAACTACACCATTCCGGACGGCATTAGCCCGGGCAAGTACACGCTCGCCTGGACTTGGTTCAACCGCATTGGAAACCGTGAGATGTACATGAACTGTGCACCCCTCGAGGTCCAGAGCGCTTCTTCTTCTAAGCGGTCCGATGTTGAGGAAAAGCGCGATGTCGAGAAGCGCTCTTCCACCTTCCCTCCCATGTTTGTCGCCAACGTCAACGGCTGCACCACCTCCGAAGGTGTCGACATCCGATTCCCGCAGCCCGGTGACGACATCCAATACAACGGCGAGCCTAGCAACCTGGCTTCCGCTGGCGCCGCCGCCTGTACCGGTACTCCCACTTTCGCTGCCGCTGGTGACAGCAGCACTGGCTCCTACTCTGGATCTGGCTCCAGCTCTGGTTCCGGCTCTGGCTCCGCCAGTTCTTCGGCCGCTGCTGTTGTTACTTCTGCCCCGGCTGCCACCTACACTGCTCCTGCGGTTGCGAACACTCCTGCACCCAGCTCTGGCAGCAGCGGCTCCAGCTCTGGTTCGGGTTCTGGCTCTGGTTCTGGCTCTGGTTCTGGCTCTGGTTCTGGCTCTGGTTCTGGCTCTGGTTCTGGCTCTGGTTCTGGCTCCAACTCTGTCTCCAGCCCTCAACCCAGCTCTAGCTCCAGTGCAAGCTCCAGCTCCAGCTCTGGTGCGCTCTTTGGATCTTGCAGCGTGGAGGGCGAGTGGAACTGCATCAATGGCTCCTCTTTCCAGCGCTGCGCCAACGGCCAGTGGTCTGCTGTTCAGAATGTGGCTGCCGGTACCCAGTGCACTGCTGGACAGAGCTCC